ATTAATTTTGTAACCTGCAACTTTACTGAATTCATCTGGTGGAGTCTTAGGTTTTGTCTATATACGATCATGTCATCTGCAAACAGGGACAACTTAACTTCCTCTTTTCCAACTTGGATGCCCTTTATTCCTTTCTCTTGCCTAACTGCTCTGGCTAGAACTTCCAGTACTATGTTAAATAGGAGTGGTGAGAGTGAGCATCCTCATCTTTTTCTTATTCTTAGAGGAAAAGGTTTCAAAGTTTCCCCATTTGGGACAGTGTTAGCTGCGGGTTTGTCATATATGGCTTTATTGTGTTGAGATAACTTCCTTCTACACCTATTGAGAGATTTTATCATGAAGGGATGTTGAATTTCAAAAGCTTTTTTCTATCATAAATGGATACTGAATTTCAAAAGCTTTTTCTGAATCTATTGAGATGATCATACAGTTTTTGTCCTTAATTTTGTTGGTGTGTATAACATATATTGATTTGTATAAGCTGAACCATCCTTGCATTCCTGAAATAAATCCCACTTGATCATGGTGTATAATCTTTTTGATGTGTTACTGGATTCTGTTTGCTAGTACTTTGTTGAGAATTTTGCATCTAAGTTCATCAAGGATGTTGGCCTGTACATTTTAGGTTTTGTTGTGTCTTTGTCTGGTTTTGGTATCAGGGTGATGCTGGCCTCATAGCATGAATTTGGGAGAATGGCCTCTGTGTCAATCTTTTGGAATAGTTTGAGAAAGACTGGTATTAAATCTTTTTTAAAAGTTTGGTAGGATTTAGCAGTGAAGCCATCCAGTCTTAGGCTTTTCTTTTTTTGGAAGAATGCTGATTACTGATTCAATTTTGTTGCTAATTACTGTTCAGGCTTTTTATTTCTTCTTGGTTCAGTCTTGGTAGGTAGCATGTATCCAGGATTTATCCATTTCCTCTAGATTTTCTAATTTGTTGATATATAATTGTTCATAACAGTCTCTAAAGATTCTTTGTATTTGTGTGAAATCAACAGTAATGTCTCCTTTTTCATTTCTGATTTTTGTTATTGGGTCTTCTCCTTTTCTTGGTTAGTCTAGCTAATGGTCAATTGTTTATTCTCAAAAAATCAACTTTGTTTCAGCAATCTTTTGTATCATTTTTTTGTTTGTTTTTGTTTCTACTGCTCTTAGTTCTGCTCTAATCTTTATTAATCCTTTCCATCAACTAATTTGGGGGCTGGGTTATTCTTAATTTTCTAGTTCCTTGAAGTGTAACATTAGGTTGTTTATTTGAGATCTTTCAACTTTTTTGATTAAGCACTTATTGCAATAAACTTCCCTCTTATTACTGCTTTTGCAGTATTCTATATATTTTGGTTTGATGTACTTCTATTTTCATTTGTTTCAAGAAATTTTTTGATTTGCTGCTTATTTCTTCTTTAACCCATTGGTTTTTCAGGAGCATGTCATTTAATTTCCATGTATTTGTACAGTTTCCAAAGTGTTATTGATTTGGTTATCACTTGTCACTGATTTCCAGTTATATCCCATTGTGGTTTTTAAAAGACACTTAATATGATTTCAGTCTTTTTAAATTTGCTGAGACATGATTTGTGGCTTAACATGCGGTCTATCCTGGAGAATGACCCATGTGTTAATGAGAGCAATGTACATTCTGCAGTTATACAAAAAAATGTTCTACAAATGTCTCTCAAGTCCATTTGGCCTAAAGTAGTTTAAATCCAATGTTTCTCTGCTAAATTTTTGTCTAGATGATCTGTCCAGTGCTGAGAAAGGAGTGTTGAAGTCTCCAACTATTATCATATTGGGGTCTATCTCTCCCTTTAGATCAAATGACATTTGCTTTATATATCTGGGTGCTCCATTGTTGGGTGCATATATATTTATGACTGTTATATCCTCTTGCTCACCTGATACCTTTATCAATATATAAGGCCCTTCTTTGTCTCTTTTTATACTTTTTGGCTTAAAGTTTATTTTATCCAATATAAGTACAGCTACTCCTTATTTTTGGTTTCCACTGGTGTGGATTATCTTTTCCCATCCCTTTGCTATTAGTCTCTGTGTGTTTACTGGTGAAGTGAGTTTCTTGCAGGCAGCATGCAGTTGGGTCTAGTTTTTTAGTCCATTCAGCCAGTCTGTGTCTTTTAAGTGGGGAATTAATCCATTTACATTAAGGGTTGTTATTGAAAGGTACTGCCTTACTCCCACCATTTTATTAATGTTTTATGGTTGTTCTAGATTTCTTTTGTTCCTTTCTTTCTTTATTGCCTTTGCTGTTTGGTGTTTTTTGTAGGGATAAGATACAGTCTTTCTCATTTCTGTATCTGCTCTACTTGAGGGTTTTATTCTTTCTCATGTATTCATGATGGTAGTCATTAATCTTTTGATTCCACAGGTAGGACTCCCTTGAAAATTTGTTGAAGTGCCAGTCTTGTGGTGGTGAATTCCTGCAGTTTTTGTTTGTCTGTGAAAGACACTACTCCTTCATTTCTGAAGGATACCTTTACTGGGTGTACTATTCTTGGTTGGCAGTTGTTTTTCTTTTAGCACTTTGAATATACCATCCCACTCTCTCCTGGCCTGTAAGGTTTTTGTTGAGATTTCTGCTGTTAGCCTGATGAGAATTCCTTTATAGGTGACTTGATTCTTCCCTCTTGCTGTTTTTGGAATTCACTCTGTCTTTGACTTATGTCTTGTAGAGGACTTTTTTGGGTTGATTCAGTTTGGGGATCTTTGAGCTTCTTTGGTCTGTGAGACTGTATCTCTCCCAATAACTTGAGAAGTTTTCAGTTATTTTTTCGTTAAATAGGTTTTTGATGCCTTTACCTTTCTCTTCCCCTTCTGGAACATCCATGATACGAATGTTTATACTCTTAAGGTTGTCAGATAGATCTCATAGGCTTTCTTCATTTTCTAAAATTCTTTTTTTTTTTCTTCTTGTCCAACTGGGTTAATTCAAAAAGCCTGTCTTCAAGTTCAGAAATTCTTTCTTCCACTTGTTCTAACGTGTTGCTTAAGCTCTTGGTCGTATTTTTTATTTCACTGAATGAATTCTTCAGTTCCAGGATTACTGCTTAGTTCTTTTTTATGATATCTATCTCTTTGTTAAATTTCTTGTTCATGACATGGAATATTTTTCTGACTTCACTGTGATTTCTGCCTATATTTTCTTGCATCATGTTGGGTTTCCTTAAGATTACTGCTTGGAATTATTTTTCAGGTATTTCACAGGTTTCCTGTTGTTTGGGGTCTGGTACTGGAGAATTATTGTCTTCCTTTGGGGGTGACATGTTTTCTTATGTTTTCATGCTTCTTGTATTTCTGTGTTGATGTCTGGGCATCTGGTGGGACAGTCACTTCTAAATTTTTGGAGTAGTTTTTGAAAAGAAACTCTTTCCTATAGAAATTTTCTATACTGACAGTTCAGGATGGCCATTTTAGTTTTGGTTCTGGGAAGCATAGTAATGCAGTGTTCATGTGACTTCTTCAAATGTATTCAATCTTGGAGTTGTCTTTGTGGCCTAGATGGAGGGGCACTTGGTAATCTCCTGTTGGGGTGAGTGACGCTGGGCAGGGCTGTTGTGGCCATGGGCCCATAAGCTCTTCAGAGGCCTGCTATGGATGATCAAAGCCACTGCTCCATCCACTGTCAGTCAGGGAGCAGTTATACTGGAATAGTAGGCCTGACCGCTCTGTAGAGGACCTATGGATCAACTGCTGATCCTGGAGCAAGCCTGTATGGATGCAGCAAGACCCAGTGGCTCTGCAGAGGTCTGCAGTGGGGAGGAAAAGCTGCTACCCAATCTGCAACTCTGTGGAGGGCTTCCAGATTAGCTACTGAGCCTGGAGTAAAGCACTAATTTTTTAAGGAGTCTTTTATTAAGCTTAAATCATTTGAATGTTACTTAAAATGATGCGGCAAAATTTATCTTCTTGATTTTCATCACAAATCATCATGTTTTAATAAACAAGCCTGTGACTTTTTAAAAAAAACTGTTGTAATATTTTATTAAATTTTTCATGAATTTGACTTACCCTGTCAGTTACATCTATCTTAGTATGTGCCATTCCTTCTGTTTGGAATGACCTTCTTAGACTGGTCCTATTTATACACTGGGAAAATCCTATTCATCTTTATGACTCAGTTTCAGGTCCACCATTTCTATACAAAACTTCCCTGAGTCTCTGTCCCTACATCCTTGAGATAGGCACCATTTCCTCTGAGTTCCCCTAGAAAACTGTGTATACCTACACTGTAGCAGTTATCATGTTTGAATGTCAACTGTTTACTTGTCTCATTCCCCTATCTGCTCTTGTCCTTGAGGGGCCAGAATTAGACTGTAATATACAGTACTCGTTCAATAAATGTTTAATGAATAAATGAATTTCCTGAAGACATCAACCATCTCTTCTTTTTAGTTAGCATGATACACTGCTCAGCATAGCATATAGTCTTGAAAATATTTTCTGATTATTAGACTGATAAAGTGAAATAACTTTTGATGCATGGCATACATCAGCTATTTGCCAAATAAATGAATAAAAACACAAAATGGTAAAAAAAAGAAAGAAAGAAAGAAAGAAAGAAAGAAAGAAAGAAAGAAAGAAAGAAAGAAAGAAAGAAAGAAAGAAAGAAAGAAAGAAAGAAAAAGGTCAAAGTCATCAACGAACAAGTTAATCCCAAGTAGGAACTGGTTTTTGGGTATCATTTGGTAAAAGAAAAGAGGAATAAAGATAAAATTGTGCTGTCAGACTTCACCAAACCAAGTTTTACCTGGTTCCTCAAAATTTGATGGACTACTACCTCCACACTACAAGATGCTTCAGGAACACTTAAAAACCAGTTAATCTTGGTTTTCATCCTTTGGTTATATTAATAAATCATGTTTGCATGCCTCTTTTTAGAAATTTCAAGGATCATGAACTCAACAATGATTTTACAGACTAAATATTTCTTTAAAAAAAAAAATCACTGGGTACTTTTATAATATTACTAAAGAAAACTACCTTACCTTATTTTTTCTGTTGTCATTGTACTTGATTAAGTCTAAAATAAATGTTAAGACTTCTTTTGGACAAAGGTTATGAACATCTCTTAATAAAGCCATCGCAACTGGCATAGTCTACAAAAAAAAAAAAAAAAAAACCATTGTTTGTAAAGGGAAAAGATAGCAAATATTTTAGATTTGCTGGACAGATGGTCTCTGTCACAACTATTTAACTGTGACATTGTATCATAAAAACAGCCACAGAAAATAGTTAAATTACTGCTACAATTCATTGAACTATGTATAGAAAAAGAGTTGCTCTGGGGCTTACAAAGGTATCTGGATGGAGTATAACCCCCCTATTTCCCACCCACTCCTTCTGAGAACGTATCTCAAAGCATTCTAGCATAAGATAGGAGCTGCATGACTGGATGAACTCTGTAGGTCATATGCCTTGGTCCTCATTTGCTGGAGGGAATATACATAGCATAAATTATATAAATTCAGTTCTGCATTTTATGAATTTTAGCACTGCATAGACCATTATTCAGCTCCTAACTCTACTATCTACTAAAAATTGGATGTCTTTACCTAGTTGCTTACTGAGTAAGAGGCCTTGTTTCCTTACAACCATTTTTAGGATTAAACAATATAGTGGCCAGTGTCATATGGTATAGAAAAGAGCTCAATCATCAGTCAAAACATACTGATTTTCCAGTACCACCCAATCCTCAGTCTAAGGAAAAATGGTAAAATATCTGAAATCCAGCCTACCTTTCCTTTTTCAAAACTTTCATAGGCAACTTTTCTATGGAAGAAAAAACAAGACTCACACACACTGGTAACTCTACCAGGAAAATGAAACCAATTAAACTGTGGCAGAACTACAGATGAATAGACATTTTAGTCCTTAGCATACAGGGAGACCCGTCGTCTCACTCAGAACAACTGCACCCTCTAAAGTGGAGGCCAGAAAGGAGAGTAACACATTTTCACGTTTGAAAGAGCAAGGGTAATAAAAGCAACAATTGTCAGTGTTAATGTTTAAGAACAACTGAGGAGATAAGGCTCTTTCCAATAGAAATATCTGTCCTGTGTTTGTTCTGCCTTTTTGGGACTCAAGTTTGATTTAGGCACCAATGTTTTCTCTTTCTCTCCTGCCCACTGGAAGTTACATGAAAGGTGAATTGGTCTAAAAGCACTAACTTTCCAACTTTTTTGACTGCATCCACAATAAGAAATACATTTTATGACAGAAATTAAAACATATACACACATTTTAAATGCAATGTATACTAACTAAAGAATAAAACCAAAAAAAGTACTGTACTTATTCTCATCACACATGATGCATTTTGATCCTTCCTATTCTGTTTCCTTTTATTTAAAAAAAACAAACAAAATTGATTTCATGACCCCCTCACTGATGGTTCACAACTCTAATTTGAAACAGTGACCTAAGGTATATGGAAGCGCAATGGCATTAAAAAAGGAGATACATGAGGCAGACCTAGAAATTAACTTTTTTCCATACCATAAATTAGTAAAATGATAATAGAGAGCTGAACAACACATTTAAGTACTATCCAATGTTCAGTTCTTAAAAATAAAATAACAGGATGCCACAGACTTCTTTGATCACACCTATACTGCTTTTCCACAAACCTGGATCATCCTGAATCTGCTCTGCTGATAAAATTTACTATAAGTATATTATGACTTCCATCCTCAACAGATACTCCAGTGCTGCTGGGCAATCCTTTTACTTTCTCCCTCTATCATATATAAATCTCAACTTGCCTAACATCCCCTTCAACATTCTGCCTTTTCACTTGTTTTTAATCTGCTTTTCACCAGCTCAGAAAAAGAAATGTTCTTATCTTTTCTAAAATTTACCTCCCAACTGTGCCCCCTTCAGACTTTGCTCCATCTTCTGTTTTACATTTACTTTCTCCCAACTGAATATTTCATCTCTCCCTTCCCACACTGGCTCTTTTCTTAGTGCCAAACATGCCTCAAACTTCTTCTTCTTCCACACAAAACAAAACAAACCCAAAATGTCCTTTTCTCAACCTTGCTTTATCCTCAGGATAGTCTGCTTTCTCATATTCATCAACTACAAACATTAAAGAATAGGCTACATTAGTTTTCTCTATTTTAACTTCACTCTTCCTTTCTATTTCAATCTACTTAATCTGATCCCTGCCTTCATTATCATTCAATTACTCAAAAAACTATAAAAATTATTTCCAAATCACCCAAAATGGTTACCATCCTCACATTCTTATATCCTTCCATAAGACAGTGACTCTAACCACACTATACCAGCACTTTCTAAATTACCATTTATAAAAAACTCACTATGTGGTAAGTGTAGTATAAAATACTTATTATGTGATAAGTGCAGTTTAAAATACTTTACATACTTGATCTTATTTAATTCTGAAAAATATAAATTTTACAATTGAGTAGACTCAGGTTGAGAAGATTAAGAAAATTGTCCACATGCAAACTGCTAGTGAGTAGCAGAGTTGGGACTAAAACCAGAGCTTTACATTATATTGTCTCTGATTCAGATGTGATGTCCACATTCTAGAAGGATTGCCATCAGAAGGGCTTACCTATACCTCCATCCCCCAGGTAACTAACAAAGGCAAATCACCCATTTCTATTTAATGTGGACAGTGAGTCACTTGTATACAGATCATAAAATCAATTAACAATCACTTAAAGTTTTGGAAAAAACTTTAGAAGCAAAAAAAGAATAAAGGCAAACTTTTTACAAGAAAGTAAACACCTAGTATTTGAACAGTCTCTAGGTTAACCTGAAATATGTAGATTACAGCATAAAAAATCTTTAAAAAAATAGAAAGTAAACTGTACCTTCTGCAGAAAATAACTTTGAAAACTTATAAAGTTGTTTGTTTTCACAATGTTTGGACAAGTTTTACAACAGAACATTCTAGTAAAGAGTGACTTCATAGCTGGTGGTCCTGTCCATGTGCTCACCATTGAATTTGCAATCTACGAATAATCAGAAAATGAAGAACCATAATTTCAATCACCACTACAAACATCTTTAAATAAATAAAATAGCTTTCTAAAAAGTTATCAATACAACTGGATTAGTTTTCAATAATTTCGATGCTCAGAAATTAAATACAATTTAGCTTTTTATCACCATTTCCAAGAAAATACACTTACCCTCCAAAAAATTCTTAAGTGAACTTACAATTATTGTCTACAGTTAATTTCTACTTTGCAGTATTTTTTTATGTTTTAAGGAAATATGTTTACAATAGGTTCCTATTCTGAATAAGTTTATCATTATCCATTTAGGCAGATATAATTCTAATATTTTGAATTTATCGGATAGAAACATTGTGATCGATTTTTTTTTTTTTTTTTCAAAAGACGACTAGTAAGGGGATCTTAACCCTTGACTTGGTGTTGTCAGCACCACGCTCACCCAATGAGCTACCTGGCCATCCCTATATGGGATCCGAACCCATGGCCTTGGTGTTATCAGCACCACACTCTCCCGAGTGAGCCATGGGCCGGCCCCATGATCAATTTTTAAATAAGGTTTTTCAACCTACCCTAATTGAAAAACAAGCCAAACGCAGTATTACCATTTAAAGCTATCAGAGAGCTACAGCAGGTACTGAGGTGAGCCAAGACCCGCAAGGCACTGGGGGTCCCCTCCTAAGACCCGAAGGGAAGCACCCGCAACCGCAGCAGGCACCAAGTTGAGCCGAGACCTGTGCGGTGCCACGGGCCCCCTCCCAGGACCCAGAGGGTAGCACCTGCAGCCACAGCAGGCGTGGAGGTGAGCAGAGACCTGCACAGTGCTGCAGTCTCATTCTATAGCCACAGATTCCAGAATAGGACCCAAGGTGCTGTAATATAGCCACGACCACACCTACTGGCACACAAGGACAGTTCACCACCACAATAGCAGCCAGGGCCACTCTACAGGTAATCAATCTACTGCTCACTCGACTACTCTGATATAAGAAGAGTCACCAGTAAAGCCTGCAAATAGAGGAAGAAATAGTTATCTTCATAGCCAACCTCAGAGTAATAGAAGAAGCAAATCGTCTACCAGATGACCAAATATCAACAAAAAAATACTAGAACTACAAACAAACAAGAAGATATGACACCACCAAAGGAATATATTAATGCTCAAATTTCAGATTCCATGGAACAGGGAATCCTTGAAATGCCTGAAAAAGAATTCCGAGCAATGATCTTAAGAAAACTCGAAGAGATAAAAGAAGACTCAATTAGAGAACATAATGAAACAAGAAAAAATACCCACAATATGAAGGAAACTTACAAAGAGACTGATACTTTTAAAAAGAGGGTAGCAGAACTCCTAGAAATGAAAGATTCAATGAAATAAAAAACACAAGATAGAGCTTGAGCAACAGGCTAGAGCAAGCAGAAGAAAGAATTTCAGATCTCGAAAACAGTCTTTTTGAATAACCCAGGCAGACAAAAAAAAAAAGGAAAAAGAACTAAAAATAATGAGGAAAATCTAAGAGAGATAGCAGACAACCTCAAGTGCTCTAACATCTGAATGTGGGTATTCCAGAAGGGGAGGAGAAAGGAAAAGGTACTGAAAACTTATTCAAGGAAATAGTAACAGAAAACTTCCCAGGTTTAGGGAAAGATGCAGACCATCACATCCAGGAAGCTCAAAGGTCCCCAAACAGATTCAATCCAAAAAGATCATCCCCAAGACATATTACAGTTAAATTTGCAAAGCTCAAAGACAAAGAGAGAATTCTACAAGCAGCCAGAGAAAAGCATCAAGTCATCTATAGGGGAGCCCCCATCAGACTAACAGCACACTTCTCAAATCAAACCCTGCAGGTCAGAACACAGTGGAATGATATATTCAAAATACTAAAAGAAAAAAATTGCCAGCCAAGAATTCTTTACCCAGCAAGGCTCTTCTTCAGAAATGAGGGAGAAATAGTGTATATCCCAGACAAACAAAACTTGTGGGAGTTCACCACCACACAACCAGCCCTGCAAGAAATTCTCAAGGGAGTCCTTCATCTGGAATCTGAATAATGATGACCATTACCACAAATACACAAGAAAGAGCAAAAACCACCATTAAAACAAAAATGCCAGCAAGAAAGAGAAAGAAGCTAACTCATGCCACCTTAAATTTCCAACTAACACTGAAGAAGAGCAATAAAAGGGGAAGTACTGATCAAAAGATATTTAAATCATCTAAACAAAAAGGAACTAAATGACAGGAATTAAACAATACCTATCAATAACTATCCAAAATGTGAATGGATTAAACTCCCTATTCAAAAGACACAGACTGACTAGATTAAAAAGCTAGACCCACGTATATGATGTCTTCAAGAGACTCACACCTCACCTGTAGAGACACACACAGACTAAAAGTGAAGGGATAGAAAAAGATGTACCATGCAAATGGAAACCAAAAATGAGCAGGAGTACCTATTCTGATATCAGATAAAACAGACTTTAAACCAAAAAACATAAAAAGAGACAAAGAAGGCCACTGTATAATGATAAAAGTATCTATCCAGCTAGAAGATATAACAATCATAAATATGTATGCACCGAATACTGGAACACCCAGATATATAAAGCAAACACTCTTAGTCCTAAAGAAAAAAATAGGCCCTAATATATTAATAGTAGGTGATCTGAACACCCCTCTCTCAGTATGGGACAGATCTTCCAGGCAACAAATCAACAAAGAGACACAGGATTTAAACTGTACCTTAGAACAACTGGACCTGGCAGATATATACAGAACATTTCACCCAACAACTAAAGAATATACTTTCTTCTCATCAGCTCATGGAACATTCTTCAGGATAGACCACATATTAGGTCACAAATCTAGTCTCAGCACATTCTAAAAAACTGAAATCATTCCGATTACCTTTTCAGATCACAATGGACTAAAACTGGAAATTAATACCAAGCAAAACTCTAGAAACTATACAAATACATGGAAACTTAACAATAGGCTCCTAAATGATCAATGGGTCCAAGAAAAAATTAAACAGAAAATCAAAAAAATTCTTGAAACTAATGAACATAAAGATACATCATACCTGGGGCCAGCCCGTGGCTCACCTGGGAGAGTATGGTGTTGGTAACACCAAGGCCATGGGTTCAGATCCCTATATAGGGATGGCCAGTTAGCTCACTTGGGAGAGTGTGGTGCTGTTTAAAAGATAAATCATATCAAAAGGTATTGGATACTGCAAAAGCAGTACTAAGAGACAAATTTATTGCAATAAATGCTTACATCAAAAGAATGGGAAGACTTCAAATAAACAGCCTAACACTACGCCTCAAAGAACTTGAAAAACAAGAACAATCAAATCCTAAAGGTAGTAGAAAGAAAAAAATAATTAAGATCAGAGCAAAACTAAATGAAATAGAACCCCCAAAAAACAACAGAAAAGATCAATGAAACAAAAAGTTGGTTTTTGAGAAGATAAATAAAATAGACAAACCATTAGCTAGGTTAACAAAAAAAAAAAAAAAAAGAAGAGAGAAGACCCAAATAACAAAAATCAGAAATGAAAAGGGAGACAATACAACCAATACCACAGAAATACAAAGGATCAACAGAGACTATTATAAACAACTGTATGACAAAAAATATGAAAACCTGGAATATATGGTTAAGTTTCTAGACACATACAAACTACCTAGACTGAACCAAGAAAAGATAGAAAAGCTGAACAGACCAATAAAAAGCCAGGAGATTGAAAAGGTAATCAGCAAACTTCCAACAAAGAAAACTTCAGGTCCAGAAGGCTTTACAGCTGAATTCTATCCCTTTAAAAAGGAATTAATACCAATTCGCCTTAAACTATTCCAAAAAATTGAAACAGAAGCTACTCTCCCAAACTCATTCTACGAGGCCAACATAACTCTGATACCAAAACCAGATAACTACACAACAAAAAAAGAAAATAACAGGCCAATATCTTTGATGAACATGGATGCAAAACTTTCAACAAAATATTAGCAAACAGAATACAGCAACACATTAAAAAATTATACACCATGATCAAGTGGGATTCATCCCAGGGATGCAGGATGGTTCAACATATGAAAATCAATAAATGTGATACATCACATCAACAAACTCAAGGACAAAATCCATATGATTATCTCAATAGATGCTGAAAAAGCATTTGACAAAATTCAACATCCCTTCATGATAAAAACTCTCAAAAGATTAGTTATAGAAAGAAAGTATCTCAACACAATAAAAGCCATCTATGACAAGCCCACTGCCAGTATCATTCTGAATGGGGAAAAACTAAGGGCTTTTCCCTTATGAACAGGAACAAGACAAGGATGCCCACTCTCACCACTTCTATTTAACATAGTACTGGAGGTAGTAGCCAGAGGAATCAGGCAAGAGAAATAAAGGGAATCCAGACTGGAAAAGATGAAGTCAAACTGTCCCTATTTGCAGATGAAGTGATACTACATATAGAAAAACCTAAAGAGTCTTATCAAAAAACTCCTAGAGCTGGTTAATAATTTCAGTAACATTCCAGGATACAAAATAATTGCCAAAAATCAGGTGCATTTATACATTCCAATAATGAACTAACTGAAAGAAAATCAAGAAAGTAAGCCCATTTACAATTGCCATGAAAAAAATAAAATACCTAGGTATTAATTTATCCAAGGAGTTGAACGATCTCTACAAAGAGAACTACAAACCACTACTGAAAGAAATTAAAGACACCAAAAGATGGAAAGATATTCCATGCTCTTGGATTGGAAGAACTAACATTGTGAAAATGTCTATACTACCCAAAGCGATCTACAGATTCAGTGCAATACCTGTTAAAATACCAATGACATTCTTCACAGAAATGGAAAAAACAATCTTACCTTTCATATGGAACAACAAAAGACCCTGAATAGCCAAAACAATCCTGAGCACAAAAAATAAAGTCGGAGGCATAACACTAAATGACTTCAAGCTATACTACAAAGCTGTAGTAACCAAAACAGTATGGTACTGGCATAAAAACAGATACTCAGACCAGTGGAACAGAATTGAAAACTCAGAATCACCCCTCAGGCTTACAGCCATCTGATATTGGACAAAGGCAACAAAAATGTACACTGGGGAAAAGACTGCCTCTTCAATAAGTGGTGCTGGGAAAATTGGATATCCATATGCAGAAGAATGAAACTAGATATGCACCTCTCACCATATACTAAAATCAACTCTAAATGGATTAAAGACTTAAGTAAGTATAAGACCTGAAACTGTAAAATTACTAAGGGAAAATACAGGTGAAACACTCCAGCAACTAGGTCTGGGCACAGACTTTATGTACATGAGCCCAAAAGCACAAGCAGTACAAGAAAAAATAAAGAAATGGGACTATATCAATTAAAAAGCTTCTGCACAGTGAAGGAAACAACAGAATGAAATGACAACCTACAAAGCAGGAGAAAATTTTTGCTAACTATGCATCTGACAAGGGATTAATATCCATAACATACAAGGAACTCAAGCAATTACACAGTAAAAAAAAAACACAAATAACATAATTTAAAAATGAGCAAAGGAGCTGAATAGACATTTTTTCAAAGACATACAAATGGCCAACAAGTACATGAAAAAATGCTCAACTTCACTAGTCATCAGGGAAATGCAAATTAAAACTACACTGACATATATCACCTCACCTCAGTTAGACTGGCTATAATCAAAAAAATGGTGAATAACAAATACTGGCGAGGATGTGGAAAGAAGGGAACTTTCCAACACTGTTGGTGTGTTGTACATTAGTACAACCAATATGGAAAACAGTATGGAGCTTTCTCAAACAACTACAGATAGATCCTCCATAGGATCCAGCAATCCCACTTCTGGGTGTATAACCAGAGGAATGGAAATCATCATGTCGAAGGGATACCTGCACTACCATGTTCATCGCAGCTCTATTTACAATAACCAAGATATGGAACCAACCTAAATGTCCATCGATGGATGACTGGATAAGGAAACTGTGGTATATATACACCATGGAATACTACTCTGCCATAAAAAAGAATGAAATTCTCCCATTTGCAACAACATGGATGAGCTTGGAGAAACTTATGTTGAGTGAAATAAGCAAAGCACCACATGTACTCACACATAAGAGGGAGCTAGGAGAGAAAGAAGGAAGGAAAGACCACAGTGGTGTGTTGGACTTGCAGAGGGAGAGAGCATACCCAGTGATACAAAGTGGAGTGGGAGAAAGGGGTTGGGGAGGGAGGTTGGGGATAACTGGGTGGGGACACGGGGTACAATCACAATCTGTGGTAATGGGCATGCTGCGGGCATGAGGGATGACAATCAGCTTTGTATCTCATGAATATTGCTAACCAATAAAAAAATAAGAAAAAAAAAGCTATACAAACGCTTTACAAAAAGTCATTTCTTGCTCTTGATATTTTTAGAGTATATAAAAAAGATGCCTGAAAAGAATAAAATTGTGATTAACTTTAAATATATTCTACAATTTAATGGATCTGCTAAGATTCTAACATTAAGAATCATAAAGATCTTTGAGGAAGCAATAAAATTATATCCTTCTCAAAGAAAATTATGTTTTCCCTTATATATCTGAGAACCATTCACTTGCCATCATTAACTATAAAATAAATCTAAATCATTATAATCTGTGAAAATGTAGGATAAATGGATTTAAGCAGTGAGGAATGCAAGAGTCACTAAATGGGAATGAACTTATTACAAGATGCTTTTTAAGTACCTGGAAACCAGCATTTCTGGTCAAATTTTTGTCTGTGTTTTTTCTGGTTTTCACTTGTTCTACCTTCAGATTTTTTGCATCTAAAGAAAAATATTTACTTTTCTTAATACATTAGCTTTTCTAGAATGTTAAGTTATAGAGCCTATCATTTTAAATTACTTATCACTGATATTAACTTCTAAGCCCAAACCAACACGAAATAATCACCACAGTGGGATAATTAAGATTAACTGATTTCATTTACAATAATATAAAATATTGCTGAAACCAAGGAATTTCTTACCAAATATATTCTTCATTTTAAAGTGAATTGGCAATTGAATAAAATGGTGAAAATTCTCATTAGTCTTAAAATCTGACTTTTCAGTTTGGCAATTATAAAATTTTTGTGCATAATCTATTTTCAAGTCAAAACATGTTTCTTTCAATTAAATCTTGTTAAAAGCACTTGGCAAAAGCTTTCAAAGAACAGCTACCAATTAAATTTAAAGATTATAGTGAATTTTAATTCATTTTCAGGGATTTTTTTTTTTTAAATATAATAGTCATCTTATTTTTTTTCTCTTACATATAATCTCACCTTTGCAAGGCAGAAGCAAGCTGACATTCTTACTCGGTAGAAACACTGTTCTTGTTCTAATATATCAGTGAGTGCAAGCCGAGATGCTGGAGTAGGGAATTTTTCCAAGGCCAAAATGGATTCCTGCTGTGCAACAACATCCCTCTCATAGCGGAGTTGATACTGCCACATAAAATCAGCTTGCTCAAATTCTACCTTCCTCAGTACTGACATATCTGGGTCTATCCTTATCCACAGCAAGGGGGAATCCGCACTGAAAGAAAATACGATTTTCTTTTTCACTTATTTTAATTTTTAAAACCTGTAAGTCTATATATTTAGAAAGTAAAACTAAAGCATTTCTTAACCAGATTCTTTTTTAGACATAGTACTCAAGACTGCGTAGATTTTAATTGTACTCATTTTTTTAAAACTCACCAACAAATTTCTCATCATGTTTAGTATGTTTTGACTTTCTCATGATGTCTGATCTATATCACTCTTGCTGAAAAGGTCTTCAAGGATAAGAAAATAGTTGTAACAAAGGATACTGAATCCCCATTTTCCAAAACAGAAAAAAGAGAAAACCAGAATCACCCATTTTCCATCTAAATATTATTTTTAGGATTTTGATTTGATTATGTAATGTGAAAAAAAGAGAATGAGACAAAATTTCTTCATTTAACCTCCTACATAATTATTGCATATGGCTATACATACCACTGTTTATTGGAAATCAGTCTGTGACTAAGAAATGAAAGCATTTATTTTACTAAATTAATTTGTTTAGCTTACTTCTAATACTTTTTAAAAAGTGTGCTGGGAAAATAGAATAGTTTGGTCAGGGCCCTCACCTTGGGTCCAGTTGGGTGTGGTTTTAGCGTATCCACTGTAAGCAAATGGATGTGTGTGTGTGTGTGGAGTTAGTGCGCATGCGAGCCAATGTATCTTTTCAGTTTTGTTGTTATTCTTGTGTTCTTCAGACAGACCAAAGAGAGAGGTAGAAAGAGAGGGAGGGAGGGGAAGAAGGAAGGGGAGGAGAAGAGGGGGAGAGGGGGAGGCGAAGAGGGGAAGAGGGGGAGGGGAAAGAAGGGGAAGAACACAGAAAATGACCGGAGTTACTATGTCTTCAGTTCTCTGGTGGTGGTCCACAACATGTCCCATTCCAGGCTAACAGAGGGAAGTTGTGTCATTACATGCTAGGGATGCCTTAGGGCATAAGGGCTTCATTTTCTCACAAACCTCAGTCGAGAAAGAATAAAGGCAATGGGTCCATAAAATGGTAAATATATTTCTTCAGACTTTGCAGCAGTCCAAGATGCATCAATGCATCAGAGAGAGAGAGAGAGTGTGTTTGGTGAAGCAGGCAGGCAGGCATCGGCCTCGGCTTTAGCTCCAAGGATCTTTTGGCTGGTTACCTAGCTCATTAGACGTGCATGTAAGGGGTCTTGTGACCCAGCCTGGTGTGCGAAGGGTTTGTGATCCAGTCTGTGAACGGGCATGAGGGGTCTGTGAACTCCAGACCCAGCCCTTGTTCGACATTCGGCCTAGCCAGAGCACCACAACTGGTGTGGTCACCTAGCTTTAAAATTGGTGTCACAAACAAGATTAAGAGCTAGACAATTGATGCTGTGAGGATTCCAGGCCTTAGCCTAGCCAGACAAAGTGCTAAACTCATGATCACCTTTTTTCCAACAGCAAGTTCTAAAATCATAATTCAGAGGCATATCACAAATGTATCCTCATGTACTTCTCGAAGTAACAAACACTATTAAAAAACCTAGTCCATCAAAAGAACACCACCTGTAATCTTAATTCAGTTCAAAAATACTACTGGGTGCTCACTATAGACAAGGTACTTGGTATGAAAAAAATTAAAGTTAACTCTGACCTTGAAGGGCAAACGGACATAATCTGTATATAAACAGTAGTGATAATTTCACAACCAAGTTAGTAAATTATTACAGATGTTTCATTAAAAATATACAGGCACAGAATGGATGGGCAAAATAAGAAAGTTTGAGCTATGTTATATTTAAAAATGAAACACTTCAATCAATAAACATTACCACACAAGATTTAGAATTGTGGTTTTTAAATAGTGCTTTTGCAAACAATGGGAGTCTCAAAGTGCCCTAGAGCCTTGTTCCAAAGACAAAGAGAATTATTATCACCTGGGAGCTCATGTTGAGAACTATGAGACCCCAACAGTAAAGTACTAAATCAGAAACCACATTTTAAGAAATTCACATGCACATTACAGTTTGAGAAGCACTGCTCTAGAGGCCACCAAGACACATGAAGAAAACTGCCTAGTCAAGGCTGTACCCATACCCAAAACCATACTGCATTTCCTCTTAATTTTGCCTAGGCCAGGCCAGATTTACTTTTATCACTCTAATTAGTTATGATTTCATGTAAAATTTGTTTTTAACATAGGTTTTTCATTGACTTTAAAAAGTTTTAAAAGCATTCATTTCAAGGACAATTACATACTTTTACATACACATAATAAATGAGACAAATGATAACAGAGAAAGTACTATATCCTTAAATTTAAGTAACTAACTTACTCCATTGCAGAAAGATCCATGTCAACTTCCTCTCCATTCATCAGTGGGATTTTTTTCTTTTTATTCCTACATTTAAGGAAAAGTAAGTTTGAAAATTATGAGGTTTCCAATTCTGAGTAGAGAGTAAGAGCAGCTGAGGTTCAAATAAAGGATTTCACATAACATGAAAGATATCCAAAGAAGGAATTAATACAGCGCTGCCTATTAGCTCAGTTGGTTATAGCATGGTGGTGATAACACCAAGGTCCAGGATTACATCCCTGTACCATCCAGCCAACAACAACAAAAAAAGAATGAATATCAAATGATGGAATTTAAACACAACAAAATTTGTCTATTTTGAAGCTAGAGAGAATGAAGTAAATATTGAAATGTCTTCCTGATCAAAGTTTAACAAAAAAATAAATATATATAATTAAATGTCAACTTAAAACATATAGATTCCTAAGAACTGGTAGATGCAATTTTATACAGAAAAGAGGATTTATCAATAAAGAAATCTTTTATAATAAGTGGAAAAATAATCAGGCCTGAAATGAGATGTGAATAATTCTTATCTGTGTACTACATGCAAGGCTCTGTCCTATATGAAATGAAGTGACTAATAAAACATTTTAAGGGTATTAATTAGTATGTGGAACTAATTAATATGCACAAGATTTAAGATAAGAAAAAACAAAAGCAACCGTTTCATGTATTATAAAACTTGCCGATAACATACTAAAAATTTAAGGAAGGGTGAATAAAAATAGGAATGGAGAACAGTCTTCCTGTGTTCCTCACACCAAAGAATACTTGAACAACATACTGTTATTATAGAGGGAAGAAAATCTGTGAAAATGTTATAAAAAGGGTAGCAACCAGAAGTTCCCAATTTCCAAGGTGGATAGAACAAAAAAACAAACAAACAGGGATTTCACTCTTAATTAAGAAAGAATTTTCTCAGAGTAAGAATGATTATAGGAAGATTTCAGAACCAAGTTCTCTGAAGGCCTTCAAAATCAGCAGACATTCTCATCTGTCTAAGATGAACTAAACCTAGCCGCGAATATAAGACTTCTGTTCCTGAAATGATGATATTACTACACATTCCTCCGGCAAAACACAGAAATGTTTTCATCTTTCACTGTTCAGAGGACGTGCTAATTGCTGTTAAATAAGTGGTAAAAGAAAATTATAGAAAAGGTGAACTTTTGAACAGTTTTTAAGTAAAGTGGCAATTTGCCATTGAAAAACATAAACTATGTTCTGTAGGGGCATAGTTTTATATATAACAAGGAAAAAGAAACATAGTAAACAAGATGCAGGGGGTTTTCATAACATATTAGCTCCTCTATAAACATCATTTTTTCAATATTTCCTATAGTTACTGATTTTACTAAACTAATAAAAATGAAATTTAGCTATCTGCCTTGAATTTTTTTCCTGATTCCAAAACCCCAAACTTTCATTCTAACTCTCCCACACCCCCATCCCACAAAATAAGGACTCTCAACCCTAAATTTTAAAAATTAATTATTTAATTCTAAAGATAAAAATGTCATCAAGAACAGAAAGCAAACAGAGAATGTTTGGTAATGCTAACTTGAGGTAAAATTTAAAAGATACGAGATAATATATTCTCCACCTAAAAAATTAGGTCTACAACAGGATTTTTATTTTGGCATTTTAATCTGTGTGATTTGTTTAACCTTCAGTTTATAGTTATGATTCAATGCCTACCTTCTGCTTTTGGAATGGCAGGGTATATCATGTTTAAGGCTGTTCTCTTCAATTTGCAATGTATGATTGAAGGATCCGTCTAACTCCTGCACTGTCACTTTAAGTGGTCCCTTAAAAAAAATACATTGTTTAAAGACAGTGCTAGAAAAATACAAATACATATGCTTATGTATATAGAGAAATATATATATCAAGATATAAAGTAAGATTATACAAAATGTGTATCTAGAGACACAGAAAGGCAACTGGTGCCAAAGAAGAGGGAAATTGGGAGAATCTGAGTCTCCTGAAATCTCCATCTGTACCTTCTCTTCCCTTCACTGACACTTGGTGTTTTCTTAATTTATTCTCTGCAAACAAAATCTCATTATGAATTTTAACAAGTCATGCCATCTCTAACCCCTCCTATACTGAAACTAGAGAGATAGCAGTGCAAAAGGCCACTTTGAAAAAAACACTTACCACATATTTCTGAGTTCCAGGAGATGTATAATCTTGTTTTATTTCTAATTCCAAGACATTCCGTTTTCTATTAAATGCAAAACTTCCATAAAATTTTACCACTCCACTCTGGTCTCTGAAGAATTGTAAAGGAAATTTTACTCACTGAAATGAATATGTACTAAATAAAATACGTGGTTCATTATGAGATCAATAATTTTCAAGTGCATTCCCACCAATTAAAAGCTTGGGAGCATACTTCATGTGGTGGCCAAGTATCCAAAATTGTCACAAAAACTGTTTCCCCAGATTTAAACAAAATTTCTGAAACACTGAGAAATTTGTGTTTTGAAAGAAGCAAAACCACTCTACTGGATTATTAATATGAGTGTTTTGAAATGAAAAACACAAAATTGCAAAGTTCCAAGGTACCACTCAAGTTGTGCCAACCTCTAACCCACATAAAAGTCACAAGACCATTGCATTTTGCAAGTAATCCAACAGATCTGTCTGGTGGATTATTTACCACCCCCCACCCCCACCATCAAACTTATTTCTTTGCTCACATACTAAAAAGTACTTCAAAATATGCCAAATTTTACAAATATAAATATATATATATATATGTATGTATGTATGTGTATATCTCAATGGCTAGTAGGTACCTCAGAGGAAATGATTCACAGTTCATGGTTATTTCTATTAATTAGAAATATCAACAGTCCATACTCCTTTTGGCCCTCCCAAATCTCTCTTTTGCCATCTTCCCCTTACACACATACCTTATTCCCTTCCCCACTTTGCTGAACTGCTATTGAAAAGGATACACCCACTGTTTTATTAAAGGTTGGATGTCTTTGCCAGACACATTTGAAATGGATTTCAAAAACCCAGATGTGGAAACCAACATCTGAATCCACATATGTGATTGGAACTTCTGAGATGAAGCAGTGCTAGCCAGACTTAGCAGTTTATTGAAAACCTATAAGGATGAAAATGTCATTTAGTAAGTTAACATAACATTATTGTTTTCAATTATGTACTATACCCACTTTGCACTATAATTTTATGATAGTCAGTTATATATATGTGTGTGCATGTGTGTGTGTGTGTGTGTGTGTGTATTTTTTTTTTTTTTTTGGCAACTGGCTGGAAAGGGGAATCTGAACCCCTGACCTTGGTATTATCAGCACCACACTCTGATCAGCCAGCCCAACAGTTAATTATAGAAGAGAATTACTTCACAACTTATTACATAGATTCTGCTAGTTAAAGACCACTAGCAATAGAAACATGCAAAGATTTTAACAGCCGGAACATAAAACCATTTTTCATGGAAGCATGATTGAATGTTAATAATGTACTAGACAAAGAATGTTGTGTTTATTAAGAATTTTAAAAACAATATATAATACTGATAATTTATTGTGCTTAGTTTTACATAGAAACTAAAAATTAATAAGTTAAGAATACTCATTAGAATTTATACCACTTCAAAAAGTTGAGTGGCTCTTTATGGACCATATGTTATTTAATACTTCTGTTCTTCATTTCAAAGGCAAGATGAAGGACAGAAGAGTTAAAGAAACTTAACTTTAGGATAAACTTAAAATGCTTTTTAAAAGAGATTAAACAAGTTATTTTTCACCTACCTCTAAGAACGTCATCAATGAAAAAAACAGCTCAACATTTATAATACATCTGATTTGCACTATTTCAACTACTATATTGAAGCTACTTACATCAAAACTTGCTTAAAATATAAGGCAAAATTTAATAAGAGCAAAAATAAACATCTTTTAGACTGGTTTACTTTTTTCTATTGAAAACATTTCTAAATGACATTTCATCCTTAATATACTAAGTAATGTGGAACACAAAATCATACATAAACAGGTTTTACTCTCATTCCCACATTCTAATTTTATCTTAATAATTGTGTGCTAAGTGGGTCAGGTATTGATACTCAATCTACATCTGAAGAAATGCAAATAAAAAGCACAAGTTATTTAGTGAGTAAATGAAACTATAAATCCAGGTGCACGGACTCCTATTCTACAGAATAGTATTCAAATTATACACTTGTAGATCTTTTTTTTTTTTTTTTTTTACCATGGTTAAGTTCTTAACTTTAATACTTACTTGTAGCATGAATTCCATACTGATCCTATTTTCAATCAACCTCATCACAAGGTGAGCTTTACACTGAAACATAGTGTAGTATTCCCAGGAGAGTGTATGTGGATGTTTTATTGAAAAGTGTAGATGGGATGCTGGACTAAAAAAAATAAGCAGATTTACTTAATAAAACAAATTTGATATTAAATAAACAATTTCATGGCCATACCAAGACAACACATCAAAAGCCTCATGGGAATACCTAAGCAATTTCCTTGGTACTAAGAAACATCTAAATTAAACTTAACCGGAAGAAAATTGTAAGGTTTAACTAAAGAACATAAAGGAAAACTTGAATAAATGGAAACACATGCCAAACTCCTATATGGGAAGACACGATACAATAAATATTTCAATTCTCTCCAAATCCATTAGTATAATCAATGCAACTCCAATCAATATCCCAACATTAGAACATGCACAAAAATACATTCAAGATGGGTTATATATCTAAAACAAAAACAATTATAAAAGTACTAAAGGAAAATAAAGGAAAAAAATTCTCTCCATCATTTTGGAGTGGGAAAATTTTTCCTAAGGAAAAATACAAAATCCAGAGGACGTAAAAGACCAGAATGACTGTGTAAAAATTAAAAATTATGACATGATGAAAAAGATCATCAATAAATTAAGAGAATGGTATGGTCTAGTAGAGAATATTTATGACATATATGAACATTTAAGCTGTTTAAAATTTTTCACTATTCCAAATAATGCTGTGGTGAATATCTTACAAACACCTAAAAGTAAAATTTCTATATAATCACATACCTAAGAAGTAGAATTGCTGGATCTAAAAATTACCCATTCTGAAATTCTGATAGGTACCAACAAATTATCCTTCAAAAATGCTGTACCAAATTATATTCTCACCATGTATGAGTGCTGCTATGGTTTGAATGATGGTTTCCCCTCCAAAATTCATGTTGTAACTTAATCCTCAACGCAACAATATTAAAAGGTGTGGCCTTTAAGATACGATTAAGAATGGGATTAGGATTAGCACCCATATAAAAAGGCTCAAGGTTGAAGGGAGTGATTTCTTGCCCTTCCATCCTTTTTGCCATGTAAAGACAGTTTTCTTCTCTGAACGATGTAGCAACAAGGTACCATCTTGGAAGCAGACAGCAGCCCTCACCAGACATCAATTCTGCCGGCACCTCAATCTTGGACTTCCCAGCTTCCAGAACCATGAGAAATAAATTTCTATTGTTTATAAATTACCTAGTCTGTAGTATTTTGTTATAGCAGCATAAACAAGCTAAGACAAGTGGTATTATATCTCCTTAAAAATGTGGCATATTGAGGGCTGGCCCGGTGGCGCACTGCTACAGTGCGCCGCTTGGGAGCGCAGTGGCGCTCCCGCCAAGGGTTCAGATCCCACATGCAGACCGGCTCCCGCTCACTGGCTGAGCGAGGCACGGGGGCGGCACCGAGGGTTGCGATCCCG